CAGATGTCCGAAGAAGTCTGACCTAATCCAGTTAATAGGACACGATATCTCTGGTACAGCTGCATCCACAGCTCTGCCATGTGACAGCAGGCCCACAGCGATCCTAATTTAAGAGCATGAACAGAGAAGGAAACATGAGCTCTGAATGTAAGTGTCTCTGCATGTGTGAAACAGTGTGTGCACGATTTACTGATTTGTTAGATCATTTATTACTAATTAGGTTTAGCAAAGAATTAGATATAATTCAGAGTTGTTTATGACAAGATAGCCACTAGCATCGAAGTCAATATTTCATTATGTATTGTAGTTAAGCTGTTGGCAACTTTTCAGGTGCATTTCATTCTTCCGTTACAGTTTCTAATCCATCCAGTGCCACATTCTCATCTTTCCAGGGCAACATTTACGTGTTTGTGTTATACAATGACAAGATTTTGGATCGACATACGTCACAATTGAGCTACAACCCAAAAAAGCCCACTATTATTCCCATAATTAAACGGATTACTGCGGCACAGAAACATAATTATGTCCATATTAACCCTCATCTGGCAATATCCTTACATTGTAGAGAGAAAGCATGTTAGCATTTTGGACAATCTGCAATCTATGGCTCAGACAAAAAGGAAGGGGGCAACAGATGGCCGTACTTTTTTTTTTTTTTTTTTGGACAAATTTCATCTGTGGGTGGGACATCACAGGTGAACAGATACGCTCTGTAAAACGGCTTATACTCAGGATAGTCAATCACGTAGTACCAGAGGCGTGCATGAACAGCTTAATCCAGATAAATCCTTCACTGCAGAGTGGCCAATAGCCACGTCAATACTTGCATGCAAATGTAGCCACTGTTGCGCACAGACACACAACCTGCCTTCTCCTCTCTTTATGAAACAGAACGATTGTGAGGTTTGTTCACATAACCTGCAGAGTTGCAGTTTCAAACTACTCAGATTAAAAAAACACTGGTTCTCTTCTCGTCTTTTAGATCGAGCCTTCTTGTTTACTGCCATGACAACCAGTGACAGTCAGTGGGAAGACAAAGCAGCGCTGTTACAAAGACTATTCATTAAGAATAAGAATTCAAGGCTCTGTCACTTGGGAGGCTTAAAGAATAATACAAAAAAATACTGATGATTAGTAAATTTACACAAGTTTAGTGACTTACATGCTGTGGCTCATCTTCTGCAGACATGGCGTTATTCACACACAGAGCCTCCAGAAACTTCTGCTTGAGGACAATGTAACGAAACCTGAGGACATCACAAACACGAAAAGAAAATGTTAAATGTCGTTGCTGTTTGATGATGCTAACATCAACCTCTGGGAGTCAACATACTACAGACAACATACTGACACACAGTCAACACACCTTTTTCTGTCAAACTTATCCATGCACTCCAAAGGCTGAATGAACTGCAAGACCTCATCCCACTGGCCATCAAGCACCAGTTGCCTGAAACAAGAACAGTTCATTTTTAATACACAGGTAACACGTTAAATCACGTCCTTTAATTTTAAATGTCCCACAAATGTGTAAACGCAAATGTTTTTTTTCATTGAAACGTAGCCACATAACAGAAAAACTTTCTTATTAAAGATGTAACATGACACAAGATGAGACTATTAACGGACACTTCACACTAGAAGGTGAAATGTATTTAATACTCAGGTTGAGTGGAATTACAGACAATACACACTGCTGGCTCGCTTTCAAGGGAGCACTCACATCTACAGCAGCGGTGCCGTGTTACTCTATCTCCAAAGTAGAGGACATAATCAGAAACCCTAAACTTAAGACTGGAACGGTTGCCTGTTGTGTCTGCCTCATAGTACGCAGCTTTTTTTGGAGCTGCAACCTGAGACAACAGTATCCAAACTGTGCGGCTGTTGCTGTCGAGTTCATCTACCTGAGGAAGAGCATGTCGTCTGAGTAGAGGCCATTGATGACGCCACTCTCCTTCTCCAGAGCCAGCATGCTGATGTGCAACTTCCTGGCGTTGAGGAAGTCCAGGATCACCTTGATGATCTCCACCTCCTTCACATTTATCGTTTCTTCCGCTGTCATGGTGACGACGGTCTGCCAATGGCAAGGGCAATGAAGCAAGGTATTAACACTACTACTACACACACATGCTACAGGCGTAACATAACCATGACCAGAATGAGAAAATGGATAATTCAATAATATCATTTATGAACGATCAGCAGAACCACACTATGTGTGGATATAATCTTAGTTTAGTTATCGTTCTACAGATCTCTGTTGCCCAAAGTAATCATTTCAAGCAAGCTGTTATTAAAAACGTACAAAATCTGATCTGTAATTGAAGTGGAAGTGTATGCATCTGAAACTTATAGTGCCTCATTTTGCAGGATGAACACAAATGTACAGATTTTCACCTCAGTCTGCAGTCCGATCAAATGTCATCTAACATGCATGCAACTCATTTTAACATCTATTACCTATAAAGACTGCAAAGTTAGGAATCTCCCATTACTCCTCCTACTCTGTAAAGTTTAACTTTTAAAGATCAAAGGTGTATAACCACACAGCAGTGCAGTCTGTTGTGATTTGCAACTCATTCTCTACATGTTCATCTCATCTTTAAGGTTACGCAAGCAAATCAGTGGTGTTATCCAGATATCTGAATGCTCTTCAGCATTTGACTGCCATAGTGAGGGCAGTCTCTGCAACATGTTAGTCCTTCATCATCACAAATATATATGATCTTACAGAGGAAACAGATCAAGACAGTAACTGCTGGATGTAACTTAGCTAGAAAGGATGCACACTCCTCCACATGACGGGTTTACAGAGGAGAGAAAACCCTCATATTACTGCCATGACAGTAAGTAGCCTCTAACACATTTATGGTTAACTCTCTGGGTGGGTGAGCTTCATCAATGTACACATCGGCAGCTACAAAACTAGCAAGAAAGCTTTTTGTTGTTGTTGTTGTGCCTATCACACTGCAGCCCTGCTAAGCTAGCATGAGAGATGGTTAGCTAATAACACTGGCTCCGAGCCACAAGTCAAACAGTGTAAGAAGCTTAGGCTACTTGTTAGCGCTACATGGCTACTGAATATAGCGAGCGGATTACTGCTGAAAACCAACAAATAGCTAGTTACCGTTAGAGCTCCTATAAAGCGGACTAATTTACCCGGCGCTAGGAGGAGAGGAGGAGGAGGAGAG